GCCCTGCCCAGGCCCCACTGCCCCACGTCCCTCAGCACCATCTGCAGGGCTTGGAAACCCCTCCAGGGATGGGGACTCCCCCCCTGCCCTGGGCAGCCTGGGCCAGGCCCTGACACCCCTTGCCAGGCAGGAATTGTTCCCCAGATCCAACCTCCACCTCCCCTGGCACAACTTGAGGCCGTTCCCTCTTGTCCCAGGGCTTGTTCCTGGGGAGCAGAGCCCGACCCCCCTGGCTCCAACCTCCTCTCAGCAGCTGCAGAGCCAGCAGGTCTCCCCTCAGCTCCTTTGCTCCAGGCTGGACACCCCCAGCTCCCTCAGCTGCTCCTGCTCACCCTTGTGCTCCAGCCCCTTCCCCAGCTCCCCTGCCCTTCCCTGGACACGCTCCAGCCCCTCCATGTCCTTCCTGTCCTGAGGGGCCCAGCCCTGCCCCCAGGACTCGAGGTGCCCCCTCCCCAGTGCCCAGCACAGGGACAGGATCCCTGCCCTGCTGCTGCTGCCCACCCTGCTGACACCAGCCAGGATGCTGGTGGCCTCCTTGGCCAAGAGAATCCTTCACCTTCCCCCTGGCTCCCTCCAGCCCAAGCCCCACACTCAGCTTTCCCCTAAGGCAGGACCTGAGCAACCCCCACCATTAGTGGGGGATGTTCCCTGAAGAGCTCAGACATCAGGGGGTGGAAAGTCTCCACCTCAGCCTTCACCTGGTCCCACAGAGCACCCATGGGCAGTGGCTGAACTGCTCCCAGGACAGGCTTGGTCCCCTCTTGGTCCCTCATGGTGGGTGAAGGGCATCTTGGCCAACTATGATGGGCCCAAACTACCTCCTGGGACACCCAAACTCACAGAATTATGAAACTGTCAGAGTTGGAAGGGACCTCTAGAGATCATCTACTCCACGTTTGGACCATCCTAAGGGAGATGCCTCTCAGACATGGTTCTGGAGGGTTTCCTCTTCTCCTTTTCCATGGCTGCTGCCTCTGACACCCCAAACCGGGGCTGGGGGAGCCGTGGGGTGCAGAGGGCTTGGGGAGGAGGCAGGAGGAGCTAGTGTCCCCTGTGTCCCCAGGTGCCAGGCCCTGCTGGGGCTGGTGGGGACAAGGAAGGACCATTTTGGACAAACTTCACTATGGATTTTGAGAAGGGAATCTCAGGATTTGCTTCCAGCTCTTCAAGAAGCTCAGACCTCCCGAGGGCTGCAGGGATGGCACTGCCACCACAAGGTCCCCAAAGACACCAATGTCCCCTGGTGCCACCTGGGTCCTGCCAGCTCTCAGGCCTGCATGGCCACCCCAGAATCATCCCTCTGCAGAGCCTCACCCCATGGATCCATCCTGTCCTGGTCCCTCACCCCATGGATCCATCCTGTCCTGGTCCCTCACCCCATGGATCCATCCTGTCCTGGTCCCTCACCCCATGGATCCATCCTGTCCTGGTCCCTCACCCCATGGATCCATCCTGTCCTGGTCCCTCACCCCATGGATCCAGCCTGTCCTGGTCCCTCAGCCCATGGATCCAGCCTGTCCAGGTCCCTCAGACCCAGCCTGTCCAGGTCCCTCCCCCCATGGATCCAGCCTGTCCAGGTCCCTCAGCCCATGGATCCAGCCTGTCCAGCTCCCTCACCCCATGGATCCAGCTTGTCCTGGTCCCTCACCCCATGGATCCAACCTGTCCAGGTCCCTCACCCCATGGATCCAGCTTGTTCTGGTCCCTCACCCCATGGATCCAGCCTGTCCAGGTCCCTCACCCCATGGATCCAGCCTGTCCAGCTCCCTCACCCCACAGACACAGCATCTCCAGCTCCCTCACCCCACAGACCCAGGCTACCCCAGGGGGTTACTGGCACCCAAGACCCGTCCCCAGGAGCTTTGCAGGCTCCTGGCACCGCGGACTCCAGGACCCCCCAGGGATGATGAAGCCCTTGGAGGCACTGGTGCTGCCATAGGGGTTGCTGGCCACGCACTGGTACTTCCCACCATCCCGGGGCCCCGCGCCGTGGATCTCCAGCTGCAGGGTGTTGTGTGTGGCACTGGCAGCCAGCCGCTGGCCTGGGGCAACCTGCCGGCCGCTGGGGGGCACTCAGGGGGCCTGCTGGTAAAGGGCCCGGGGGG